TTCTTATAAAAAATTCGTGAAGCTGCTTCCATGGTGGAACATGGAATTTGGGGTAACCTGAATCCATGTCCCTGGGCCATGGTCACTCATATTTGGCTCCAGAATAAACTATTTCTTTTTCCCTCTCAAATGAGAGTTGTGCTTCATAAATTTTCAACTGCTCAGACTGGCACTGAATTATATCAACCAAACAACCCTCTTGGCAGCAGCAGCGCGAGTCACTATCTCAGCCATGATGTCCCATGGTAACTTCTCCCTCTGTGCCACCCATTTTTGAAGGAAAGTTAAGGAAAAAGTTCAACCCAGCGGACCTTTAAATTGGAGTTTCCAACCAGATTATCTGCTGCTCTAGACTATTTTTACAAGGTTGTCCATTTGAGATTCCAAGAGCACAAGAAAGAACTCCAAGAAATGGCAGGTGGAATTAAAAAGCTTCCTCACAGTAAAGGAAACAGCAGAGCAAAGAGACAGTCTGCAGAATGGGAGAAAATCTTTGCCAACTCTGTATCTGACAGGAGAGATTACTGTCTAGAATCTATAAAGAACTCTAAAAATACGGGGCCACCCCCCCTAAAAAACAAAACCAAAAATAACAACAGAAAACAAAACAGAAAAAAAAAATTGCCATTTTTCTTATTGGTTGGTTGATTGATCTGTTGATTGACTGACTGCTATGTGCAGGCTTGCATGTGCCACATCTGAGTATGGAAGTTAGAGGACAACTTGCAGGAGTTCGTTCTTCCACCACAAAGGTTCCAGGAATCAAACTCAAATCACCAGGCTTGGTGGCAAGCACCCTTGCCATTGAGCCATCTCACCGCCCCAAAGCTGTTTGATGGCTTTTTGCCCCACTCATGCTCACCTATTTCTCATTTTTAAGGCCACACCGGTTGCCTTTTTATTATGGTCAAGCCTGTACACCTGTCATCCGGCTCCTTAGCAATGCAAATTAATCCTTTTCACCCTCGTGTTTCCTTTTTCTCCCTCTATCTTCTGTTCCTCCCAGCTTCTACTCATGTCAACGCTCAGGGTGACTCAAATCCGTAAGACAAACACAGGCTGGTGTGACAAGGCCAGAGAATGACAGATGCTAGAACAGCAGCTTGCCAGGCTAGAGTGAATTCTCTCTTCCTTCCTCAACCCATAGAAATGCTTAAAAAGTTGTGGAGTAGCATGCTATCTTTAGCCGTGCTACCTACGAAGCAGAGTGACCATTTGAAACCACTTCTGTTTAACGTTGAGAAATCCTCGCCATATGCACTGGAAATACTGCATGCAGACGGGACTCAGAGTAACAGCAAAGACAGTGAGTTGTGCTCATGCCCTTTGTGGTGGTTTTTCTATGCAGAAAAGATTATTCTAAACTTTACTTTTAGTTTAATATAACAGTAAAGTTTGCAGAGGTCTGGCAAACACAGTCATGTCAAATTAGTCTGCTGCCAATTTGTGTGGCCCATGTTGTTAAGGACAGTTTCACCCTTACAAATGTTGGAAAAATAGAAAGGATAATATTTTATAACATCTGAAAATTGTTCAAAATTAACATTTTAGTGTAGCTGCACTAGAAATGGGAAGTCCTGCTAGGTCCTGAGGTTTCCATGAGATAATTTTCAGAAAAACTGTGCTGACCTTTGGTTTAAAAGATCAACATTCAATTTATCAAAACAAATGAAAACAATCCTCAGTGTTCTGCTTTCTTTCTCAGTGATGGAGAGAGAATCTGTAGCTCTCACATGCTGGGCAAATGGGCTACTGCTGAGCCACCCATCCATCCCTCATTCATTCTTTTTGTTTGTTTTGAGATCTCAAACTGTAACCCAGGCTGGCCTTGAACTCACAGTAATCCTCCTGCCTCCACCTCTTTAGTGTTGGGATTATAGGCACAGAAGCACTAGACCTGGCTCCTCATTTGTTCTTAGACTTTTAAAATATCACACTTGCGGCTGGAGAGATGGCTTAGCAATTAAGAACACTGGTTGTTCTTGCAGAAGACCCGGGTTTGAATCCCAGCACCCACATGGCAGCTAACAACGGTCTGTAACTCCAGTCCCAGGGGATCCGACAGCCTCTTCTGACCTCTGCGGTTAAGAACACTGGTTGTTGGGCTGAAGAAATGGCTCAGTGGTTAAGAGCACTGACTGCTCTTGCAGAGGACCTGGGTTCGATTCCCAGCACCCACATGGCAGCTATGAACCATCCTTAACTCCAGTTCCAGAGGAAATTGAAGCCCTCTTCTGACCTTTGCGGCATTGCACGAGATGGGTGCACTTGCATACATGCAGGCAATACTTTCATACACATTAAAAAAAAAAAAAGAAAAAAAGAAAGAAAAAGAACACTGGTTGTTCTTGCAGAAGTCCTGGGTTCAAATCCCAGAACCCACGCAGCTAACAACAGTCCCAGGGGATCTGGCAGCCTCTTCTGATGGGCGCAATTACCTACATGCAGGCAATACACACATACGCATTAAAAAAAAAATAACTGGGCATGGTGGCACATGCCTTTAATCCCAGCACTTGGGAGGCAGAGGCAGGAGGATCTCTGTGAGTTCAAGGCCAGCCTGGTCTACATAGTGAGTTCCAGGACAGCTGGGCCTACAGGGAGACCCTGTCTCAAAAAGACCAAAAAAAAAAAATTAAAAAAGTTTTAAAAAAAATCACACTTAAGAAAGACCACCATAATCAGGATACAGAATACTTCCGTCCCCCAAAGATTCCCCATGACCTGTGTAGCCAACACCCCACTGCATTCTTTCTGATTTTGAGATTTGCTCACATTGTTGTATTGGTATTTTGTTCCCTTTTATAGTTATGATTAAAAAATTTTTAAGATTTTTTTTGCTATTTGTGTGTGTGTGTGTGTGTGTGTGTGTGTGTGTGTGTGTGTGTCCCTGGGGAGACCCAGAAGAAGGTGTCAGATTCCCTGGAGCTGGAGTTACAGGTGGTTGATACAAGCTGGGAACCTAACTCGGGTGCTCTGGAATAGTAGCAATCTTTCTTAAAGGCTGAGCCATCTCTCTAGCTCTGATTACAGAATGTTTTAATTGAGATGGTTCAGTGGGTAAAGATGCTTGCCAACAGGCCTGACAAACTGAATTTGATGCCCAGAACCCATGTGTTAGGGGAGAACCAACCTCTGCAAGTTGTCCTCTGACCTCCACAGCCCCCCCACTAAATAAATAAATGTAATTAAAATGTTTTATTACATGTTTAATAATGTTAGATTTAATTTAATGTACTGTTTAATTACTGGTTAAAAAAATTTTTTTTGAGACAGCATCTCACTGTAGCTCCAGCTGGCTTGGAACTCTCTGGTCTCAAACTCATAGAGAGCCTCCTGCCTCTGCCTCCTGAGTGCTGGGATTAAAAGTGTGTGTCACCACCTCTGGCTGGTAAAATTTTTTGTTATGGGGGCTGGAGAGATGGCTCAGCGATGAAGAGCATTGACTGCTCTTGCAGAGGACCCAGGTTCGATTCCCAGCATCCACATGGTGGCTACGAACCGTCCTTAACTCCAGTTCCAGGGGAATCCGAAGCTCTCTTCTGACCTCCGCGGCGTTGCACAATGAGGGTGAGGGTGCACTCACATACATGCAGGCAATACATTCATATGCTAAAAATAATAAATAAAATATTTAAAAATTTTTTTGTTATGAGATATTTCAATATACTTAATAAGATCAGACAAAATATATCAAGTTCTAGGTCAGCCAAGGCTACTTAGTGAAACCCTGCCTCAAACAAAAACAAAAACAACTCCACTCCCCACCGAAAAACAGTGAATGGATCTCCATGTACTCAGTAACTCAGTTTCAACCATTATCAGTTTAGTCCAATCCTGTTCTACCAAACCTTCTTCTTGTATATTTGAATCATATTTTAGGTGTCATACCAGTTCAGTATTTACTAAGTTATGTATTTAAAAAAACATATATATTCACACACACATATGTGTATATATATATATATCTGCAATGCCATTATCACAGCAATAAACTTTTAACAATACTTGCTTGATTTTTTTTTTTAAATCAAATATCCAGTCAGTGTCTAAGTTTTCAACTGTTTTAGAAATGTCATCATGTGACTTACCAATGAAGCCAAATGAAATCTGTGTGATACTATTGGTCAGTGTGTCTCTCAAGTCTCTTCGAATGTTGTATGTCCCCTGTGTTAATTCATTTGTGCTGGTATTACAAAAGACCACAGACTGGGTAATTTCTAAATAACAGAAACCTGGGGCTGGAGAGATGATTCAGCAGTTAAGGGCACTGGCTGCTCTTGTGGAGGACCCAGGTTTGTTCCCAGCACCCACACTGTGGCTAACAAACTTCTGTAACTCCAGTTCCAGGGGATCTGACACCCTCTTCTGATCTCCATAGGCATTGTATGACATGGGTGCACTTACACATGTAGGCCAAACATTCAAACACATAAAATAATAAAATAAAATAGAAACTTCTATATGACAGTTCTGGAGTCAAAGAAGTCCAAGACAAGGCCCTGCAGCTTCTTCCTGGCTCCCAAGCCTGTGCTGTATTGCTGTGCCCTCGCCTGGTAGAAGGCAGAAAGGCAAAATGGGAGCCGTGTTATTTTCCTCTACCCATTTATTTTTATTTTTAAAACGTAATTCTTAAAGATTTTATGAGCTTTGCCTGCATGTATGTCAAGTGCATCACTTGCATGTAGTGTCTGCAGAGACCAGATGGAACTGGAGTTTCAGATGGTTGTTAGCTGTCGTGTGGGAGCCTACAAAATTTGATTATTTTGACTCTGCCAGCAAGTGGTAGTGAGTTTGGGCTAGAGCTGGAACTGGAATTTCCAAGTCCCATTTTTGTATTGAACTGTCTCTTCCGGTTTCTGCTTTGTTCACCGCGTCGCACATGGCCCCGCCCCACACGGCCCCGCCCTATCTGCCCCCGCCCCACATGGCTCCGCCCCATCTTGCCCGGCCCCTACCGGCCCCACAGGTCAGAGGTCAAACCTCGGCAAGTGCCGGGAGAACCACATTTCCCAGAGTGCACGGCGAGATAGCGGCCTAGGCAGCGCTCGCCGGCCGGCGCCATTTCCATGGAGGGAGCGGAGGTGCGGCCAGTGAGCATGGCGCTGTTCCCGGCCTTTGCAGGTGTTAGTGAGGCCGCCGGTAGTGGGGACTCCAGGAGAGGTAAGCACCTAAAAGGGACGAAGAAGATACTCGATGAGATTAATGGCGGTTTCTCGTTTCGGGCCTCAGCCCCTGTCGTGGGGATTTGTTTATTCATTTGTATCCCAGAGTTCTCCGCGGCGCTGCAAAGCCTTCTGGGCCTTGTCCAGAGTGTGGGGCCTTGAAGACTCTTTTAGGACTAAGATTGTTCTGTTAAGGAAGGGGCATAGACGGGTTTGAGGGGCTGGGGCTGGGGCTGGGGCTGGGACTGAGGCTGAGGCTGACCTACTGTTGTGTTTTTGGACCTCATCCTCTCTCCTAGCCTGACTTCTGAGGCAGAAACGGTAGAACTCCCTTGCAGAGACTCCCCTTTGAAACACAAACCATGATTATGCGATTAGTGTAATCTGGTTTTTCTTGACCAACACTTCAACAAAGTCGGAGAAAGTTTCTGCTCATCGTAGCACACTTAGTTCCCAGCACAAGTCCAAAATGCAGTACATTTTCAGCAAATGTTTCCTGGATATACGGACGAATAATGAATACTTAACAGTGTGTTGCATGAATGAAACAAAAGTATAAGCTAGGATGCTATAGATATCACAAGTGAACTATAGTAGTAACCTTTAGGTGGAGGGTTTAAGGAAGGTTTTATGTAGGCGCTAACTTTTGGCATGGATATTCAAGAGGTAGAATTTGGACAGACAGCAGAAGTAGAGGGCATCTAGAACTTCAAAGGCCTGTGGAAGAAAAGCATGCAGCCTCTTCAGAGACTTCCATCTATATTTTAAATTTAAACACAACTATGACAGATAAAATTATCATTTAATTATAAGTTACTGTTCAGTTACTAGAGATGTCTCAGAAATGACCTTTAAAGTTGGTTTGCTTAGTCAGGGTCCACATTGCATTTTGTTTTATAGACAGTAATCCTCACTGACCTGGAACTCACTATGTAGATCAAGCTGGGCTCAAACTCATGGAGCTCTGCCTGCCTCTGTGTCCTGAGTACTGGGTTTAAAGGTGTGCACTCCCAGCCCCCACCATATAGCATTTTCTGCTTGTATTTCTTAGGTTTCTATGGACATAAAACAGTTTCTCCCCCTCTCATATTTTTTCAGATGATTATATAGTTGAGAAAACTGGGTCTTTTGTCCTGAAGCTATTTCCCACCAAATCTTCATGTAACATGAGTCTTTCTCCCAGTCTTTTCTGTTATTTACACCATCTCATCTCTGACTAGAGGGAGCCTAATCAGATTGATGCCCTGTGCTTTTGGTGTGGTGAGTTATCGTTAGTTGCTTCCTTGCCTTCTGTCCTAAGGCCTGTCTAGAACTTACCACTTACATGTTCTGTTGTTTCCTGACTTGGCCATTTCTCCAAGGAACTCACAGTCTGTTTTAGTGAAAAATGATAGTTATATTAAAATCTGAAAGTAGAGGGCTGGGCATGGTATCACTTGCCTTTAATCCTAACACTTTGAGAGATTGAGGCCAGCTTGGTCTACATAGTGAGTTCCAGGCCAGCTGTGGTGACCCTGCCTCAATAAGACCAAAAAAAAAAAAAAAAAAAAAAAATCAGAAAGTGGGTATAAAGGTGCCCTTACCGCTGGTCTGTCAGTGCCTCTAGACTGGTTCAGTACACAGAATCAGGAAGAGAAAAAGGCACCATGAAGCCACACTGATATTTCCAGCCCAAATTTAAGATAAGGAGGTTTTTGCTTAAATTCTTTGTTTTCATTTTTATATTTTTCCCATCTTAAATAAGCAAAAACAAACAGTTGCACACACACACACACCCCAAATCCCCAAGCCTCCCAAACAAACTAGCAAAACCCCAAACCAGAAAACGCTTAACGTAGTTCTTTCTGTAGTTTTGATATTATTTTTGATATTACAATTAGGTATTATTTATTCTATGTGTTTTCAATATTTCAGAATTCTTTTATTTCTTTTATTTATTTATTTTTTGAGACAGGGTCTCCCTGTAGCCCCAGCTGGCCTGGAACTGACTATGTAGACCAGGCTGGTGTCCAACTCACAGAGATCCACCTGCTTCAGCCTCCTGAGTGCTGAGATTAAAGACATGCGCCAGCACACCTGGATGAATTATTTTTTATTTGATCTTGTTTGTATGTGCTAGGCAGGAGCTTTACCACTGAGCTAAATCCTCAACCCCTGATCTTGTTTTGTAAAGATTTGCATATTTCAAAAGTTGAAATGTAAATTAGCTGTTTCTTCAGAGGAAGAAAGTGTCCATTTCTGCCCTTCCCCTTCCTGCTCTACAGCTTAACACTTTCATTAGTCAGTAATGTTCTTTCATTTTTTTTTTAATCCTTACTCTAAATAACTCCATTTCTCTTTTCTTTCTTTTTAAAAAACATTTTTGTTGCTGGGTGTGGTGGTGCACGCCTGTAGTCCCAGCACTTGGGAGGCAGAGGCAGGCGGATCTCTGTGAGTTCAAGGCCAGCCTGGTCTACAGTGAGTTCCATGACAGTTGGGGCTACAGGGAGACCCTGTCTCAAAAAGACCAAACAAACAAACAAAAAACCAAACAAAAAATTTTTTTATTACATTTTATTTACTTTGTGTGTATGTATGTGGGCAGGTATGCAAGTTATTTCATGTATGTGGAGGTCAGAGGAAGACTTTAAGGAGTTGTTTTTCTCCTTCTGTCTTATGGGTCCATGGCATCAAAGTTGGGTTGTCAGGCTTGGTGACAAATGCCTTTACCTTCCATCTCACTGGCCTGGCCCTCCCTTTTCTTTCTTAAGTGCATACTGTTGTGGACTTCCTCTTAGGTCCTGTGGATGACTCACAGCAGACTGGAGATCTGGTGAGCTGCATTGTGTGGTGTCCCATGTTTATTCACCTGGTCCCCTACTAAGGACACTGGAATCATTTGCCTTATAAATAGGACTACTCTACTTTCTGCCTTACATGTTAAAGTGTCATAAAAAATTAAAGGTGCTGCTATGAGACAGCCCAGAATCCAGTGAAAACACCATTGAGCTGGACAGGAAAGAGCAGGCACTCAGAATGAGCATTTGGTGGTGGGGGGGGAGGTTCTCTGTGCTCCACTGCTGAGGTGGTGTTTAGAATTAGGCCAGCAGTTACCAAGGCATCATATTCAGTCAGGGACTGGGGAGCAGGGTGCATCTGTGTTCCACATTGTTCATCCCTTTAAGAAACAGGTGTCAGAGTGGCATTGTGTCAGGAGCAACAGAGAGCCCTGATTTCTACCCCTCCAGTATTGTTATTAGGAGGTGTACTTAGAACATTGCTGCTTGCAGCTAGGTATTTGGATAGAGAGAGTCGGGATGGATGTTGTCAGTTCATTTAGTCTCCGTAACAATGTAAGAAGCAGTGTACTGCTTATATCTGAGGGAGAAACGGGATTTACTCTTTCCCTTAAACCCTGTTCTTTTTTTTTTCCAAATTCTGTAATTAGTTTTATTAATTGCCATGAATGTGCCAAAGATTTTGAAGACAAAGAGATCCCTATAGTTAAAACAGAAAGATAAAAAAGAAAGTGAAAGTTTAAGCACAGTTCCTTATAGTTTTGGCCTGGCAAAGAAGGAGAGAAAAGCAGAAAATGAGTAAAGAATTATTAATGCATGTCAGTGGAATTTTTCCAAATTCTGTAATTAGTTTTATTAATTGCCATGAATGTGCCAAAGATTTTGAAGACAAAGAGATCCCTATAGTTAAAACAGAAAGATAAAAAAGAAAGTGAAAGTTTAAGCACAGTTCCTTATAGTTTTGGCCTGGCAAAGAAGGAGAGAAAAGCAGAAAATGAGTAAAGAATTATTAATGCATGTCAGTGGAAGCTGTCTAGAAAGTCTTCTATCACGTCTCGGCCTTTTGGCTAAGATCAAGTGTAGTGTCTGTTCTTACCAGTTTAATATCTGATACGTCCTCTATCTGAGGACAATATATTAAATGGATTTTTGGAACTAGGAGTTGGAATAGGAGCTTGCTCCGTCCACTCTACGGATCAACCTGGTATTGCAGTACCTCCAGGAACGGTGCACAAAATAAAAAAATAAAAGCCTTCTGCTTGTTGTCATAGCACTTACCCTGTGTGTGCCAGGGAATATCCCAAAGTCCCTTTTTCATCAGGACTTTTCCAGGCATCTGTACATGAGTACTGTAGTGTGAGCTGTCAAGGAAACCTCACTCCCATCACACAGTTACATGTGTGACTGAGATTGTCTATATTTCCTTTTTTCCTTGGGATTTTCCCAGACACTGATCTGTGACTTCAGAGCAGAGAGACTCTACCTTACACTGGACAGTACAATGCAACATTACTATGCCAACATTATAATTACTTGAAAAAAAAAAAAAACCTGACTCCTAAATTTAGGTTTTTTTTAGAATGGGCTTGAACTCTGAGGATACCCATTCCTCCGATGTCTCTACATACTATGCTGATGGAACAGTCACTGTTCATGAGTGAGGCTCCACCCATAATTTTATTCAAAATGATTTCTCAAGCTTCAGTTGAAGAAATACAAGTTTGACTCCACCCTTTTTTTAACTTAAAAAGATATATTGAGAATTTCATACATGCATATGAGGTGTTTTGATCAAATCCATGCCTACCTCCCTCCCTTCCAACTCCTCCCATATCTCCCCCATTACTTTTTCCTGAACAACTTTGTGTACTCTTTCTTTCTTTTTTGGTCTTTTTGAAGTAGGGTCTCCCTGTAGCCCCAGCTGACCTGGAACTCACTATGTAGACCAGGCTGGCCTTGAACTCACAGAGATCCGCCTGCCTCTGCCTCCCAAGTGCTGGGATTACAGGTGTGTGCCACCACACCGGCTCTCTCTCTTTTTTTTTTTTTAAATGGGGCTTTTTGCTACTCTAACATTCCCCCCTCTGAAGAGGTAACCCTAGAATTTTTCAGGGATTAGATAAGAGCTCCCAAATATTTTTGACATTTTTTTTTTTTTTTTGGCCTTTGGAAGAGAGGCCCAAGGCTATTTTAATTTTTAGGCAAAAAACTGGCTACTTTT